CCCCCTGTAACCCCAGAGATTTTTAAAACTTGGTCTAGAGGCACAAAGCAGTTTGATTGGTCTATCTCCGTCGGAGACGTCTCCGAATAGACACTGCGGAATTACCTCCCCTCCAACGTCGTATGTGTCCTCAGGGCAGGGTCGGTCCGTGTAGACCCAGGTCGAATTGTCCAGGCACTCCCTGTTTAAGTGCCACTCCTATGCCTGGTATTGCTGCGCTGGACACTTCCTGCAGAGAGAAATGGTCACTTTTAAGGACAAGCGGGCTAACCCAGATTTCGGGGGTTTCCAGAAATCTTGACTTACACCAAAATTGGGCATTGCCCTACCTATAGGAGAAGTTTGGTTTCATCGGTGTGTATATTTGTTTGGTTAGTTATAGAGAAAATTCTCAATGTCTTTTACAGAAACTAAACATGGGGCTAATTTTCGCTAATTTTACCCGTGAAATCAAGCAGCCCCATCTCATTCAATAGCAAATACATGTATCTCGGCTTCTATTTTAGTTAGATGGGTATTATTTTTTCATCAAAAAGCACGACAAATGAACAAGCTTTAAGCTAATACCATTAACTTCACATGCCCAAAAATTGACGTGCGCCTGATTCCACCGCGTCATGACACGTATTTTAATTGTGTTGTTGTTGTTGTTGATATTGTTGTTGTTGTTGCTTTGGTAAAAGCTTTACGACGCTTGCAACGGCATAAGGTCATAATATGAACGCGCGGGAAACGTTAAGCATTTTCAATTTGGCAGGAATTAATTTTGAATTTTGTTCTGGTGGCGCCGAAGCCTACTCTCTTCGATTTTGGACCATCAAGGGATCTTTAACTTGGGCAACTTGCATACGGGGACTCCTGGATTTTTTGCCCTTATCCGAGAAGGCTAGGTGTTAGATCTTACCTACCCTAAAATCAAGGGTATAGCTGAAAGACAGCAGTAAAAAGGAGCCAAGGAGTAGCAGTAGAGACGCTGCAGAAAGAGTCAGGAGCCCAAAGGAGGGGATCAAAAGGGTAGGGGGAGGCAGAAAGTGGAGACGAAAGCAGGCGACAGAACATGATTAGAGAGCAGGCATACGGAGGTGAAAGAAGAAAGTTTTAGAGAGGAACATTTTCCGTCGCTGTCAGGATTCGAACCGGAGACCTGTTGAATGGGCAAAATTCAAAATTAATTCCTACCAGAATTGAAAATGTTTGATGTGTCCCGCGCACTCATATGACCTTATGCAGTTGCCATCACCGTATAACACTT